ACCACTGTTTTGTGCACTTCTACTAACATCAGTTGTATGAAATCGATGTCCATTGATAACATAACCAGAATGTGACATCACATCATATCTAGGTTGACGTGCAAGCCATTTCAATGTATTAGACATGTTATAATTGTCTTGTTTGACTTTCTCCGCAAACCAAGAAGTGAAAGTCTCCATATGTCTCATTTGTAAAAAGGTTTCATTCTTGGCAATACGTCTATCTAAATTTTTAATCTCCTCTTTATGCATCCTAAACGAAAATAAATAAATAAAAATAAGAGAAGTTTGAGAGAATATTAATCAATGTTAAACTAATAAATTAACTAGCTTCATTACATTATGTATGACTCAACTGCAATGCTGTTAAATAGTACATAACGATGAGCGACCTCTAACATTTCTGGACTCAAAGTCTTTGACTTTCCTTCAGAATTGGACGTCCCTCAATAATTGTTTCATTCTCAAAATCTTCATTTCGAGTATGTCGAACACCTACTTCAGCAGCTTGTTTCATGTAACCACTACAAAAATGCATACATTCATAGACTAAATAATGCTATGCTATATAGCCCTCAGGTCTTGAACGATTTCTAACATATCCTTTAAGTGTTTTCATAAACCTAATGAATCATAAAATAGGCATTAGATATATAAGTAATTAGAAGAAGAAAGTTTGAATACTTACAAAAGTATAATAGTAATTTACCTCTCAAATGGATACATCCAACGATATTGTACAGGTCCACCAATTCGAACCTCACGCCCAAGGTGGATGGTTAAATGAATCATTATGTCAAAAAAAGATGGTGGAAAATACAATTCTAGCATACAAAAAGTCACAGCAACATCCTCCTCAAGTTTTTCTAATTTATTTTTATCGACGACTCTTTGACATATTTCGTTGAAAAATGCACATAGTCGAAAGATTGCATTTCTTGGTCCTCTAGGTAAAAGTCCTCTTAATGCAACTGATAGCAATTGCTGTATGAGCACATGACAATCATGAGACTTTAGATTTAAAATCCTATTATCGGTTAATGATACACACCTTGAAATGTTAGAACTATAACCATCAGGTAATCTTAAATCAAATAGTCTCTTACAAAATAACTCTCTCTCTTTTTTGGATGGCATATATGATGCTGCGGAGAGGTAATATATATTTCCTTTCAATTCTGGATGAAGCTCCTTTCTAATACCCATATTGAGTAAATCCTTACGGGAATTTAACCCTTCTTTTGATTTTCCCTTCACATGCAAAATAGTGCCAAGAATGCTTTCGCAAACGTTCTTCTCAATGTGCATTACATCCAAATTATGGCGCAAAAGTAGTGTTTGAAAAATAACAATATAAATTCAAAAAAAAGTTTAAGCAAAGAAATAACTAATTCAAAATAGTTTAAACTGACTAACCTCCCAATATAGCAGCTCAAAGAATATTGACTTTTTTTTTCCATGGCCAATTAGAATATGATTTTTTCATCTTTCTTTTTTTTCCTATTTTTCCCCAATTATTGCTAACATTCTTGATTGAACACATCACTTCTTGACCGGTTAATATTTTAGGACTAGGCCTATACTCATTATTTCCGTCAAACCAAGCTTTTTTTAACCGATAAGGATGATTATATGCAAGAAATCTTCTATGACCCATGTATGAAAACTTTCGACTATAAGTCAACCATTTTGCATATGTGGATAAACCACATACTGGACATGCTACTTCGCCTTTCGTAGGATATCTTGATAAGTTCCCATAAGCCGGAAGATCATTAATTGTCCACATTAGTACAGCTTTCAAATTGAAGGTAGACTTGGTAAATCCATCATATACTTCAACACCAATATTCCACAACTCCTTTAAGTCTTCTATTAGTGGTTCTAGATACACATCTATATCATTTCTAGGTTGCTTGGGACCTGGGATTAATAAAGTTAACAACAAATTTTCCTTAGACATGCATATCCAAGGAGTGAGATTATATATGACTAGTACCACTGGCCAACAACTATACCTAGAACTTAGATCACCAAAGGGATTAAATCCATCAGAAGAAAGGCGAAGTCTAAGATTTCGTGGTTCTGATGCAAAACAAGGCCATTTTTGATCAATTCTCTCCTAAGCTAATGAATCAACTAGATGGCGCATTTTTCCATCTAAACTTTTGTGATTTGAGTGCCATATTAACTATTCTGCCTTATCAAGTGACCTAACCATTCTTCTAAATCATGGTATAATCGAAAAATATCGCAGAACCTTTGCAGGTATCCCTTTTTGAATCTTCTTAGTTCGTTCATGAACTTTCCACCACGAAGATGCACATTTCGGACATGTATCCAAATTCTCTAGATCATTTCTAAACAAACAACAATTATTTATGCATGCATGTATCTTCTCATACCCCAAATCAAAGGTTTTCAATAATCTTTTTATTGCATTGCAAGAATTAGGAAGGGTGTTCCCATGTGATAGCATATCTTGGATAATATCAAGAAATTCATTGAAACCATTGTCGGATATACCATATGTAGCTTTAAGCTTGTATAAGACAACAATTGCAGATATCCTTATATACTTTGTGCAATCAGGATATAAAGGAATTTCTAAGCCTTCATATAGATTTGAAAAATCTTTCTCTCTATCTTCATTCTTGGGTTCTACACTATTATGATCCTGAAAAAATGCATCTCTATACATCCTATACGTCTCTAAATTTTTTACATCTTAAGGAGGCAATGATGATGTATTTGATTTTTAACCATGAAACACCCATGTAGTATACATAGGATCCATGCCATTAATGATCAAATGCCCATACATTACATCAAAATGTTGGTGGAATAGGTTTTTGCAACATTTGCAAGGGCATATGACCTTTTCTGGATTCCCCGCATTGGCTGGCACCATATTTGCAAATTTTCTTGCACCACATTGATACGCCTTTGAAACTCTATGAAGAATGCTAAATAAATCATTTAAAAAGCATTTGAAGACATATTTTAAAATATTCTGAATTTAAAAGGACGAGATAATCTCGATAAGTGTACGCAATCTTTATCCATGATAATACATTAACACTATTAAATTATAATCTGTTATAACACAATAAAAAAAATTATATTAGGGCATCTTAGAAATCAAGTTCCAATTAGGTAAGTCATTTTGTAAATAATGTTTCATTAGGGCAAGGTGGAAGACAAAGCAATTGGAGAAAGATTATGAAGTTCTTAAGAAACAATTTGAAGCTGTTAAAGCAGATAATGTATACTTGGTGCTCCCCAAGTATAGAGATTCAAAGAAATTGCAGTTGAGTTTAAGCCTTGAGTTTGAGCCATCATGTACAGATAACTTTAAATTCTTTCAGAAACTAAATATAAGGGCACCTTTTCTTTTTTGTTTGGCTAAACTTGATGTCGTATCATCCTACGTAATTACTTGTGCTAAACTGACTTTCATGATGGCATAACAATTGAAGTCACCATGAAAAATTACATATGTGGTAACGAAAATTAACACACTATGTCATGGCCATTGGATTGACAGGCATACTTACATGATTTGGTATTAAGTTCTATCATCAATCTCTTTTGATTTATATTACAATATAATGTTGATTTATAACATGATTGGATTTTATATGACAATATAGTGTTTGATTCGTAGAGACAGACGAGCTCTTTATTGGCTATTCCTCTTATATCCTAAAATGATTATTTGTACAAATATTGCATTTCATTGTATTATTTTGTTGTTGCGGAGTCCCTAACTTTAAGAAAACAAACATAATCTATTAATTAAATAACCAGCAAATTAGAAAAGAATAATATATTATTACACAATTTGGTAATATGAATTATTCATACAAAATATATGGATTTAATCACATTATTACAGAGGTAGTAAGTTACAATTTAAAAAATTATAAACTATGCAATAGAATAAATAAAAATGTAAGCTACACTTATTATAAAGAAATTATATAAAGTGTAATTTGCCAAAAAAAAATATAATATTACACATAATTGCCATATTTTTCTTTAAGCGCTAATTTATGTTGTATTTTTGACGTATTTAACAAAAACCAAAAATTTTCAAATCAGTCCCCTATTTTATCCTTATTTGTGTAATTTGGACAAATAGAAAGCCTTTGTTTTAGGCCCAACACTGCAGGCATAGCAAAAGATTTTAACCTTTGATTTTGGCTATGATGTACTATTTGATAATGAGGTTATTTCTCCTAGTTCTGATATTAATCCAAATGTACTATTTAATAACAAGGACATTTTGATTCTTGCTTCTTTTCATCTTCCAAATCTGAAAATCTTCCGTTCTATTCTTTTCTATCCTCAAAAAGCTTCTCTTTAGTAGCCCACTACTAGAGGATTTAAACTTAAAGGGAACTGTAACAAGTGATTTTATATTCAATCTTTCATGTCTGCTTTTGAAAAGATTGAAGATAGTGTTATGGCTATTGGATTGACGCATCAAGAAATGGAAAGTTCTTACAGTAACAGAAGTGAAAATAGTTGCGATATTAAGCTACACATATCAAGAACACCAGCAAATGACATCCCTATATCTACACACCCCTCAACTAGACCTCTCTTTGCACCTTCCATGAGGCCTAATGGCACGACACAACAAAAGAAGAGAGGGAACAGAAGGAAGAGAAAAATTCTCAACAATTTGTGATAATCCAAATATTGTCTAGAAATCAAATTTCTACTCTGAAAAATCATAAATCTTTGAAAGACAAAAATTTAAAAACTCGAAATCTTCTGTGGACGAACACTAACAAAATAAATCCTCAAACCAATCAATCAACAAGTTTACTTATTTTATCTTCATTTTCGTATATTCTATGAGAAACTTACATTACGAATGACAAATTTCGGTTAATTTTCTACTGAAAATGGTGGAGGATTTAAATTTTTGTGGTACTAGTATTACGCTAACACAGCTCTTGGACATTGCTTGCTCTGGGTAACTACAATTACTCGTAATGTAATACTGCTTATGTACTAAAAAGTACTAATCTTAATGGTTTGTGCTAAGATTCTGTTCAAGTGATATTAGATGAGACTTGTTAGGATTTTAACCAATCTCCCATGTCCTAGGAAACAATGATCATTCACACATTTGCATTAACAGACAGGAAAGAAACCACAGCAATGGCAGAACATAAAACCAGCAAAGAATCAGATAAATAGACTCAAGAATTTCTTAGTCTTGGGACTAAATTTCATCAACCAACTTGCAGGGATTTAACCCCAGTCAATCTGCCATTACAAGAGGAATTATTACAGTGTTTGAATTACACAACAACAACACTCATCACTCACCCGAGAACAACTAGAAAACTCTCAGAAAGTTTACACAGAAAGTTACAGAAGTTGTCTACAGAGAATTCTCTCTCTCAACCTCACTTTCTCTTAACTACAGAATGTGTTCCCCCACATTCTTACGTTCTCAGACTTGCTCACATTCTCAGGCTCTCAGCCCTCTATCCTATTTACAGGCATAGGAATGTAGAGATTTACAATAAAATACATCTAATATTCAGCTACAACAACTACCAGAAAATTAGTTAGAACCAAAGGCTCCTAATTGATTTTCTAACTCACTAACTAATCCAACTAATGAGTTTAATAACCGAATCAAGAATCAATATTTTCTCTACAAGACCTAAATTTACCTGTTGTTAAATTAATTCCACATAGAAAATTGCCACTTATAAATCAATCAAAGTAGTCTGTTTAGAGCTTTATATTGCAGAACGTTCCTTGTAAAAGTTCCAAATAGCATTGTCAAGAATCAATTTAATCAATTCACCAAGGAAATAAATAAAAGTACCTTCAACAGTTGAAGATCTTTCTTGAAAGAGATATAACTGAAAACACCTAAATTTAATTCATTCAAAAATCAAACAACACAGCCAATACGAAAATTAATTTCATTATCAAGTTGAATGACATAACGAATCAGGAAATAGCCAAACAATATCTGATTTTAGGCATTAATTGGATTCATGCTAACTCATTCAATAGCTTAAATCACACAATTCTTTCAAGAAACTAGACCCCTATAAAGACAGGGACGGGTATTAATTTGAAGAATCCTTACCTTACAGAAATATTTCGATTTGGGTCTTGGGAGGCAACGACGAGAGTGAGAAACTAGCGCTCGTGGTCGACGATGGAAGGCGGAGAGTTAGAGCTGAGGCGCTGGGCGAAGTCGAGGATGGTGGTTGTGGTGGACTGGTGGCAGCACAGATGTTCTTGCTGGAAAATGAATGGCAGCACTGGTGGCAGATCAGGAAGAAAAGGTCGTTGAGGAAAATGAACGGCAGGAGGCGCAGTGGTTTTTGAGAAGGGATGAGAATCTTACGAATGGGAGAAAAATGCCGTGTTTTAATTGGGTTTTTGAAGATATATTACGGCGTGCATTTGCACGCCGTAAGTTTAATTTTTTATCAAAAACGGTGTGCATCTGTTGCACACTGTAAATGCAAGCTTAATACGGCGTGCACCATTTGCACGCCGTAAATAATTTTACCGAATGATTTTTTATAGCTTACTTTTTGTGCACGCCGTAATTAATCTATTTTTATGATATGCCATAAATGCACGCCGTAAATAAATGCCATAAAAAGTGAATTCTGTTGTAGTGTCTATATTTGCCTCTAATAAACCTAAAAGTGTAATAGCCCCATGGCCTAGAGTATATGTGCAACATATGGTTCATCAACCTAAAGTTGGTCCTAGGTTCATTCTCACATGTCATAACTGTGGTGGTTTAGGTCACATAAGACTTAGGTGCTGTAAGCCCATGATTAGGAACAATAAACAAGATCTAAACTATCGATGTTATATTTTTGACTAATCAAGTAAGTCACTTGATTGAATTAAGGACTCAATTGGCTAAGATTGCATCTTCTTCTAAGAAGATTTGGATAAAAAAAAAAGTGAAATTACACATCAAAGAGATGATATTAATTGTGGTGGTGCTGATGTTGCTCTTCACAGTAAGAACGTTTGTGAGCCTCATTAATTAGGTATTTAGGTTCATGGATATGCATTATTTATGATATCTTTATTTTCATGCATGCACATTTATTTATTGAACATTGCGAGTTTCCTTTTGCATTTTGCCTTTATTATAAACAAAAATTTTTTTGGAAAAAAATGAAAAATGATTTTTTTTGAAGTTATAGCACTTCCAATTGATATTGTCTTATGGACATGTTATTTTGCAATCAAAAATTAATTAATTTATGAATGATTAATAAAGTATTCATTAACTTTATTTAAAACTTGTTTGGAGTACTTGTTATAGGTTATTGCATGTATCATCTGCAATGCAGAAATTAAGCTCTTATGAGCGTGTTTTGACTGCATGTTTAAAACTTGGGATGGCGGTCATTTGTATGCTAGGTTAAACTTCGAATATGGAATGACATTTAACTAGTTGACTTAAACTCTTGTATATTCCTCATAAAAAAAAGAAAAGTATTATGCTTCAAAATAATTAAATTATTGTTATGTATCTTATACTTGTCTTCATGGCCTTTTTTACTCGATGAATTAAGCCTGCTAGGCATATTAAAACTTAGTGCCCTATAGTAATCTGACTTTGGGTTTGTCAAACTAAACCTCATTACAGGGGTCATTAGGTATGCTTAATAAAGATAAGTCTTTACATAAAATATGAAAAAGATTAGAGAAAAAATTATATATGTGTTTGCAGATAGATAGAGAAGTAAAATGTTCTATTAGCACTGGGTTTGACTTCATGTTTGAGGAATATATTCATTCACCAATGATTTTTTGGCATATCATTCTCATTGATTTAAGATTTTGAGACTAGTTTACAGAAGTTTAATGACACTTTTCACACGTATAGCTTATACAATTTGCTTCATATAGGTTTAAAATAAGTTATACGGGAAAAGTTTACTGTTTATGAATTAAGCAAATAAATGTACACAACGTTATATTTAAAAATTCATGAAAAATATTTGTTAGAAGAAAATTTTTATTCTCCTATCACATGTTGCATAATTTTTTAAAATTTGTCAATGTGCGTGTGCCCTCTTTTTTTTTTTTTTAACTCATTCCTGTCCATGCTATTCATGAATATATTACTAGTCTTCCTTTGTTATTCATGACAAAAAGGAAAGAATTAGTATTTATTTCTTAGAGTAGATAAGTATATAAGTTAGTAAAGATATATTGAAAATTTGAATTTGATATTTGAGTTAGGTGGAGTAATGGTAATTCCTTAACCGATTGATAATCTGACTAGCATGACTGGATGTTATGCTTATTGATGTTCACGTTTTGTATAGTATCAATATTATTATTTTGTAGACATTTGAGTTATCTTTTCAACGCAATTTGAATTGCCTTAATTAAAAATCAAGAGAGAAAGACATAATGAAAATACTGAAGACTGTACACAAAGAGCTCGTTGGCTGTCCTCTATGTGTTTGAGCTACCAAAATAGAACCTTGCTCGTTAGTTAGGTGCTTGAGTGGCCATGTTACATTTTCAAACCCTATTTCTTAACTTTTAGCCTTTTTATAGTCCTAGACCACCTGAAACACTTCATACTATATATACCCAAGCCTTAGTTTGTCCCAAACTATCTCTGTGCCATTAGTTAAACTGTTATTCATTTAAGAGAACATCCGACAAAGATCCAACGTCAATTTAAATAATCTCTTGATTCAACCACAAGATTAAAACACATGATCAAAAGATCAAACACCAAATATTTGAGAGAGGGCAAAGAAGGATGAAAGGGTTGGAAAATTGGATGGAATAGCCCACAACCTGGGTTGTCATAGTCACGAGAAACCATGCACGGCCATGTACGATGGTGTACAACTGGTCGCGACCAACATAGATGTC